TGTTCCGCAGGAGAAAGATGAGGCTTTCTGCTCCCGTAAAGATTTACAGCCTCAGAAACCCTGTACAGGGTCGCTATTAGTAGGAACCGACTCCACGGTACATAACCACCACCACCATATATAAATAATGGGTCTGGTCCCCAGAATATTTCTTATTAGCTCCATGATTATTGTGAGCTTATTTTTATTTCCTGTTTGTAACACTTACTTTGTATGGCCCATTTGTGCAGCTGCATGAATAGGTAACTGCCAGTTGTCCTCATTACAGTAAAGATCAGGATCTGCCCTGCTAGACAGCAAAAGCTCCACACACTGGGTGTGGCCCTCCTGAGCAGCAATGAACAAGGGAGTAGCTTTGTCCAAGGCTTGACAATTGACATTTGCACCTAAGACAAATTTAAGAATTTAATAGATAGTTCTCATTATGTAAGCAAAAGACCATAATAATCAACATACATTTCAAAGAAGCTAACATAAAAGGGTTTCTTAGTACAATAGCTCCCCCACCCCACTTCAGTGGATATTTTTGAATAAACATTTATTTTGCTACCTTCTTCATAATCATTTATATTTCTTTTGATTTTATGCCTTCAAAAGAAAAGGTATTAATATTTTAGAATTCACTTTTAATCTAAAACAAATATCCTATTCAATGAAGGATTTATTTCACTCTAATCCCTCCTCTAATAAGCACTTTTGGGGTCCAATAAGAATTGTTTAAAAAGGAAAAAAGGCAAATCATCAACTATGGATACAATTTCTGGTAACTATTGAAAATGATCTGATGAATTCTAAACTATGACATTTTATAGATGGAGCTCATCACTTTGGACTAAGATTTATGAAAATAATTACCAGTGGATATGGCATATCATGGTGGCTATGCCTTAAAAACTAGTTCTGGTTGTGAGCTAAGTCCGACCACATTCAACAGATTCCTGTGAACCCGGGTTGAGACCTGGATGGCCAGCAGTATGGCAAGTCCTGGGGACTCCTGGGCCCAGAGACAGTGACATGGCCACAGAGGACTAGAGCAGAGAGTGAAGCGTCCAGCTGATAAGAAGTGGAGGAGATGCACAAGAACACCCATATTTGCATATAGTACCCACTTGACCTGGCTTCAATAGCTGGATGATCAGAACTCGACTAGAAGAAGAAAGAAGAGGGAAACAAGTGTAATCTGATACAATTTGATGATCTTGACCTATAACTATGGATGTAGTAGCTCAAAAGAGGGAGCAAATGAAATGCAGATCGGTCTCTTGTGATACAATAGTCAATAATTATTATCAGGACTGATTGTGAGGGTTGGAAACATAAAGGTAAACATTTTATAACAAAGAAGGGAGTGATTAACTTTCCAGTCTAGGAGCGGAGGTCCCTAGGACCATCAACGGAGAAGAGCCAAGAGCAGGACTCTACCCAGAGAAGCAGTGATGCCTGAGATGGAGGCAGAGATGATGACATGGAGCGATGGAGCAGCTGGGGACTTTAGATCCAGAGAGGGAGAGCGATTGTGTGCTGAAGACTGGGGGTGGGGGGCAGGGGAAAGTGTAGGGGGCAGGCTTGCAGGGTATACCCTTTAGTTGGTTGATGATGCATGGAGGGGATTGTAACCATGGCAATGAAACGATATATGATAGAATGAATGCAAAACTAACATTCTCCCATGTATACTATCATATAATTCACAATAAAACATTTAAAAAAAAAAAAAAGAGGGAGCAAATCTTTAAGCAAGGATCGTTCCCACCCCCTCGGTACACAGGGTAGTCAGGGATGGACAACTTAAGACACTGGCTACCCAAAATGGGAGGGGCTACAAAGGCAAGCAATAACTGGTTTACAAGCTTTCAAGAGGGAGCCTAGATCCAGAGGGTGTGTGGGAAAGTAGAATCTCCACTGAGTGGTTTCCAATTTGTCTGGATGGGGCTGAGGAAAGGAGATAGGGATAAAACTCTTGTGGTACAATAGTGAATAATTGCTATCAGGACTGACTATGAGGGTTGGAAATGTAAAGGTAGACGCTTTGTAACAAAAGGAGGGGAGTGGTTGACTTTGCAGTCCTGGAGCGGAGGTCCCTGGGACCATCAAGAGAGAAGAGTGGAGTGCAGGACCCTACCCAGAGAAGCAGTGATGCCAGAGATGGAGGCAGAGACAATGACATGGAGAGATGGAGCAACTGAGGACTCTAGACCCAGGGAGAGAGAGGGGCTGTGTGCTGACAACCAGGGAGGCAGGCTTACCAGATGTACCCTTTGGATGTTTGGTGAGGCATGGAGGGAACTGTAAGCATGGCAATGAAATGAAATACGACAGGATGAATGTAAAGCTAATGTTCTCCCATGTAAATGATCACATAATTCACAATAAAAACTTAAAAAAAAAAACTAGTTCTGACTTGTGCTGTTTACAACATCGTCTTTCTTCATAACCATGAAATGACCAACAAAGCCTACAAATAAGAGAAGGGGGTCTATTTAAATGGATTCCTGAGTTGATTTTTAAAAGACTACGTCCAACCGAGTTATTAAATATCAGCCTATAAAGATGATTTGAAAAGCTGAAATGTCCCAAATTGTTGTTGTCTCAAACATTTCTTATTGTCAAATAATGTACTAGATATGACAAGTATAGTGTTATTACACGACCATGAGAAATTTGCATTTTCTAGAAAATATCTCAGTGGAAAATCATTATCAAGGGGGATAAGGGCTATCTTTAATTAAAACGATGTTCATAAGTGCATTTTAAAGAAACCAAAGCCGTGAAATAGTTAAATACTATACAAAACACAAATGCTAAGTTTAAGAGTTTATGGAGGTTCTAGAAATCCAAAATGGGCATTCTCAGTATGTCTAAAAAACTAGAATCTTCTGGATGTCATCTTCTGTCAGACTAAGAAAAAAAGTTAACACCATCCCATTGTTGTTGCTGAGTTCGTTCATAGAGACCCTGTACAGGGTTTCTGAGGCTGTAAATCTTTACAGGAGCAGAAAGCCTCATCTTTCTTCTGTAAAACAGCTGGTAAGATCAATCTGCTGATCTAATAGTTTACAGACTACTGTTTATCCTACTGAGCCACTGCTACCATTACTGAGTAGAAATTCAATCAAGAAAGAAACCTGCTTAACTTTGGTTTTAATCAAGGCCTCACTTTGACTGATAATTTTTTAAAGTATCAGAAAAATTAAAGAACCAATCCCTTTAAGATGAAGAGTTGGAAAAATTAGGAATAATCAACTAAAAGGAAAATCATCTTAAAGGGTTTGGAAAGATATATCATTACATTATAAATATACTTTTTTTCAGCAGGCTATTCATAACAATTCAGAGAAGAGAAAAGAAAACAAAAAAGAACAAAGCAAAACAGATTCTTAGTGCTCCAGGTAACAGAATACAGACAGGCATGAGGAGAGAGGCCTTAAGGTACAGTTTAACCTATTTTATTCTAATCAGTTGTTAGACACTAAAAGTATAATTTATGGGACTGGTAGTGGTGGTGGTGGTCAGATGCCATGGAGTCGGTTCCGACTCATAGCGACCCTGTACAGGGTTTCCGAGGCTGTAAATCTTTACGGGACCAGAAAGCCTCATCTTTCTCCCGTGGAACTGCTGGTAGTTTCGAACTGCTGACCTTGAGGCTAGCAACTCGACTCGTAATTACTACGCTACCAGAGCTCCTTAACTTATGTGACTAGAAGTCATAAATTATATTAAGATAGTCCTCAGGAATGTACAACATAGTAGAAGGAGAAAGGTCAGAAGTTAAAAGACCTGGGTCCAAACTCTAATTCTGATAGGAAATCGTTTCTAGATTACTGATAAGGCACTTAAGCTCTTGGGGCCTGGAATCTTTATCTAAAAAAGGCATGTTTGGATAAATGATTTTGGAGATCCCTCTCAACTCCAAAATTTATAGACTCACTGTTTATTGAAGATATCTTATATTGGCACTTAATAAATATTTGTTTCTTTTATTTATTTTATCTTGAATATTAGAAGATTGGTAAGAAGGAAACAGGAATAAGAAAATATATGTCCTTCTGGCTAAACAAACGTTGCTTTATATATTTAGAGGTAGTTTGAAAAACAAAAACACCAACTAAAAAGCCAGCAGCAATCTGGCAGTACTTCCCTGCTTCTCTCAATGATCCGTCTTCATCAGCCTAGCAATGGGAATTCATACACAGTATTTGGAAAGAATTTTAAAGTTCCTATAGAACAAGCCCTGATGTGGCACATTAGGATAAGCATTGGACACAAGGTCGATGGTTCAAACCCACCAGCCGCTCCTCAGAAATCCTAGACAGGGTCACTATGGGTCAGAACCGACTTGACAGTACTTAACAACATAGAACAAATATTTGTGGTCACAGAATGCCACCTCAACACCATCATCTCTGGCATTACTGAAAGTGTAAAGGTTGTCACACAGAGGACCTTTAACAGGTTTTATGTTGCTATTAACATAATAAAGTAAAGACATGTTTTGAAATAAACTCATTTAAATAAATACACAATCGATCAAAACATACAACTCAGAGGTGCAATTAATAAACAAAAGAGTTTTCAAAGAAATTAAGCCTAAAATTATCTTGTACCCTAGAAAGTTGGACCTGCAAGTCCCCATAAGAAAGGACAGCCCCATCATTCAATTTGCCAATAAACCTGCTTTAGTGATAGATCATTATGTTCCTACACAGATAAATTAGCAGCTGTGTATTACATTATGTTAGTAATACACACTTAGTAACCAGGCTTATAAATCAACTTGTATTTACTCTTATTTATCATATACATAAAACCATTAAGTTGCACAACCTGATTTATATTTGGTCAAGAATTATTCTTCCTAGGAAGGTACAAAACTAAAACTCATGATCTTAGCAGTACAAAAGGCTAACTGATTAATCTTACCTGATGAAATAAGTAAGGTCAGGCTTTCCAGCTTGCCATATTGAGCAGCCACAAATAGAGGTGTGATTCCAAAGTCATCCTGCCATTCCTTGTTTGCTCCTTTTTTAAGAAGCAATTTTATGATCTCAGAATTTTCCTAACACAGAGATTCATATTTTCAATAAGAGAAAACAAAAAAAATGAGTCTATCTTTTTTTTCCCCCTATTGCTATTTGTTTATTTTTCCATTTGTGCTTTGCTCACTAAAGAACAACAACAACAAAGCTTTTAAAAAATGTATTGTTGTACTGGATGGAAAGATAGTGGCCAAACATTTAGACTACCCTACACCTCTAGCTTGCATTAAACATAAACAAATAAGACACTGACCTGTAGAAATTATAATCCTTATAATTCCTATCAAATTAGCTTGCTAACCAAGGTACTATACAGTTTCTAAACACAGTTATAAATAAGCCACTGCACTTTATCAATTTACAACCCAAGTATTCTGATGGCTTCTTAACTATGCTATCAATATTTGGAAAAGTTAGATAATTCCCACAGCCCCAAACCTATTGTAGTTACTAGAGCAGTTGGCTTATTCAGAATGATCATTAGCATTTAGACTGCCTTTTCTGTACTGGACCAACCATCATAAATCACAGGCAAGTGGGAAGCAAAAACTGTATAGATCTGTCATTTTTAAAAGGGTAACACACACAATTTACATGGAAATGAAATAATAAATTCAGAGATTACCTGAAAAGAGGCCTGGTGCAAGGCGCTCCATCCACACATAGAATGGGATCCATTAACATTTGCTCCGTGTCGAAGCAACAGCTTTACTCCATTTATCTGTCCATTTTCAACAGCTGCAATACAGCAATCAAAAAAAATTACTGTCAGCAAAAAGATATGTTTGCAAGACTGGACACTTTGGTGATATGCTCACCATTTACTCACCTAGAAATTCACAATTCTATAGTCATTCCGATAAGCAAATCAAAATACAAAGTTCTTATGCAATGCTAAAATGTTTATCACAATGGTCTTAACCCATACCCATTAACACATGCCTAATCATTTCTGTGCATATAGAAAATTACTTTCAAATTCAGGAAATAGTAGTAAATGGTAGACATTTATTCTCAGAAATGCATTTGGGTGGGAAGGGGAAGGGAGAGCAGTTCAGAAGAAACAATACCAGTCTGGAGAAACAGTCTCAAAAGGATTGAAATGGCAGGAGCCTCTGACAAATCGAGAATAAAAGAGTAAAATTTAAGAGTTCTGCGCTTAGATTCTTTTATCATCATAAACAATAATCACAGTTAAAACGGAAGAATCCTATATTCACGCATGAAGTTATAGTAAGGCACTCATTTATTTGTATTAAAGTGAAACTCCAAACTAAAGGAAATTGCTAAAGAAGTGTCTATTACCTAACTATAGTAACTAAAACAAATGGCTCCCAAGTCATTGCTAAAGTATATCCTCTGAAATTCAAAGCTTATATGCAACGCCCATGGATACCTAAAAATCATGTGCTCTTTTACAATTTCATCAAATCTTTCTACTTTCTTATACATATGCAATTTAAGATTAGGGCAAGGTATGTCTAATATGTGCTTATAAATTCTATCTGGTAAGGATATACTAGAATTTGTAGAGTATGTTATTAAGTCGATACAACAAGAAATGGGTTAAACTTTACATGGTATATGTACCCCAAAATTTTGCTATGAAGGTTGCAGAAATGCAGGAGGAATTTAAGAACAGAGTTAATTAATTGACAAAATACTAAAGAAAATCTGCTACCATCGAGTCTATTCCGACTCATTGTTGTTGTTGTGAAGTGCCGTCGAGTCAGTTCCGACCCACAGCGACCCTGTACAGGGTTTCCAAGGCTGTAAATCTTTACCCGGGCAGAAAGCCTCATCTTTCTCACGTGGAGCAGCTGGTAGTTTCGAACTGCTGACCACATATATAATAGAGTAGAACTGCCCCACAGGGTTTACCTGGTCACTGAGAGTAAATTCACACCATGAACCTTTGGGTTGCGTAAAAACTCTTTGTGCCACCCAGGGACCCTAGAATATGACTGGTGGTGTGCCATTATGTCGGTTCTGACTCATAGAGACCCTGCATAGGGTTTCCGAGGCTGCAAATCTTTGTTGTTGTTGTCTTGTGCCGTGGAGTCGGTTCCGACTCACAGTGACCCTGTACAGGGTTTCCGAGGCTATAAATCTTTACGGGACCAGAAAGCCTCATCTTTCTCCCGCAGAACCGCTGGTAGTTTCGAACTGCTGACCCTGAGGTTTGCAGCCATTAAGCTACCAGAGCTCCTTTGAATATGATTATTGTTGTTGTTGTTAAGTGCCGTGGAGTCACTTCCAACTCATAGCGACCCTGTACAGGGTTTCCGAGGCTGTAAATCTTTACCCGGGCAGAAAGCCTCATCTTTCTCCCGCGGAGCAGCTGGTAGTTTCGAACTGCTGACCTTGCGATTAGCGGGCCGATTTGCAACCACTACGCTACCAGAACTCCTTTTGAATATGATTATATGGTATTAAATAAGTACACACACATACATACGCCAAGCAATAGCAAATAAGGTATACTATTGTAGCACTTACGAATCAGGCGGCGAACCTCAGGGTCAGCAGTTCGAAACCACCAGCTGTTCCATGGGAGAAAAATGAGGCTTTCTGCACCCATAAAGATTTACAGCCTCAGAAACCCTGTACAGGGTCGCTATAAGTCAGAACCGACTCCACGGCACATAACAACAACAACAAATAAATGTTGTAGCTGTGAGACTAGGCAATGACATCTTTGAATTTTAAGTTTGGAGAAATAACACCATCTATAAAAAGCTCTTGAATAGGGAAAGGGAGCTTGAAAAAGGGAGCTTATTTTAATTTTTTAATTTCAACCATCTAAATTAATCTTCATTCTCTACCATAGTGGGAGAAAGAAAGTGGGGATCAACAACTCTCAGTCATCATATTACAAAAGCACTGAACATGAAGAAGAAGGGTCATACTTGAAAAATGCAAACTAAGAAACTATGGGAAAGACTAAAACTTTGAAAGTATAAAATAAGACATGCTAAGTATATTCATTATGATTTAAGATAAGTAACATGGCATTGTTATTTTATTAATTTTATATACAGAATTTATACCTAAATGTATTTCCCCCATAACAACTCTGAAGCTATACAATAAAAAATTCTCCTACCCTAAGGGGGTTTCACAAATTCCATCCCTGTGGTTGAAACAGTACTATTGTAGTAAAAGTTTATCATATCTATTCCAATTTAACATTCAAATGTATTTTACTAGGAAAAGAACAACAGTTTTTCAAGTTATTTTTTTCTACAAACAATATAAGGTCTTCCTAATTTGGGGTGGAATTCATGACAGAGAAGAAGAAAATCTGTTTCAATTCATGCATCATTATCAGTGATTGCCAGCAAAAATTATCGATAGACAAACCTTTAAGCTGAAGATTGTCAGGGTGTTGGCTGTGACACATGAACAGAGAGAAGTTACTTGTTTTTCTGAGTTAAGCTGATCTTGCAAAAATGAAAGTCAAAAAATGTTGTTTTGATTATTAAATACAGTATATTTGAAAAAGTTTTAACTTTTAATATCAGAAGTATATTAATATATCTGATTTGGGCATCTCTACAGAAAATATTTCCAAATAGCAAAAAAAAAACAAAAAACCGCTAAACCTGGATATAAGCAGATAAATAATATTTTTATAACTCTTGATTATTATTTCTAAAAAATTTAATGGTAAATAATTGAGAAATATGTGGTTTTGAAAAGCATATTTATAGTTTAGATCTACCACCTATTTACTACTTTCAAAGCCTATACTTTGAAAAAGGCATATTAACTTATTTGTCCTTATATAACAAGTTATCAAATTGGAAACAAAATGGACCATACAGTGAACTATTTGCTTCCAAAAGGGCAGTCATTGTTTTCTACTAACATATTTCCTCAATCCTACTGAGAAAACCAAATGTAACAGCAGCTTAGAAACTACTCCACATCTAAAATAGACTTTGCAATTCTTTTCCAGGAACAGAGTCAACTAGTCAATCATCTGTACATATCCAGCGCTTTTGTACTAATGGGGATAATGAGGAAACAGGTGAGTGGGGAAGGATAGAGTGTTTCTCCCTTGAGAGCCTTCTAGATGCAGACTGAAATGATAAGCAGATCTTTTACTTTTGATGATGATGAAACTGAAGAAAAAGTTCCAGTGAAGAAATCTATATGGGTTACTAGCTAAAAATGCACAAAAATCCAACTAGAATGAAAAAGACTCAAAACCATCAACACCAAGATCAAATGGTCAAGAATCCTTGAAAAAAAAAAAAAAAAAAAAAACAGAAAAAAACATCTACAACACTGAAAGGATCTAGTTCTATAGAAAATATTAAAGCAAAAATACAAGCAAGTATAGAAAATGGTGGTTCTGTTCCTAAGGTCAAAGTCAAATTTATCAATTATGTGAAGAACTATTTCCAGATGACAGACTAGGAGGCTATTGAAGATCTCTGGCAATAGAGGAAGTCTCTTTAAGAAGACAGTTTTAGCAGTTTGTTAAAGTTTTCCATTTTATTTCATTTCTGTAACAGTTGATATCTGGCTGTCCTTTTTTATAATGCAAAGTGAGAACTTTCCCTACCATGTCTGATAAATGTTGACAGGTTCCTTTGCAAAGAATGTGTTGTCCAAAATGTCTGTTTGGTTTTTAAAGATGGAACCTTGAAAGATGGAACCACCCTTTGCTTGGTTCTAAGTATGTATGGAACATTATGATAGGACACAGTAGTAGCAGTGGTCAGACAAATGGAAATGGTGGGGAGACAAAAAATATACAGGTGAAATAAACTCAGTATTTTAATAAAGTTTTTTAAAAAAGATGTACTCTGTAGAACAGTTTGAAGTAGAAAAAGAGAAGAAGGATGGGAAGCAAAAGGAGGAGGATAAGAAAGAAAGAATTTCATGGCTGCTAAGAAATGTTCTAGTAAATTGGCTCCCATAAAATAATTTCTTTCTCCTCCTGCTCCCCATCCTTCTCCTCTTTTTCTTCTTCAAAATATTCTATAATGTACATCTTATATATATATAGTCATCTTAGTACTACTATATGGACATTTGTTTTGATAGTACAGTAAATCCCTGGGTTACTAATGTCCAACTTACAGACAACTTGAACTTTCCCTTTCGTTGTTGTTGTTAAGTGTTGTCAAGTTGGTTCTAACTCCTAATGATCCTGTATAGGGTTTCTGAGGAGTGACCGGTAGGTTTGAACCACCACCCTAGAAGTTCAAACCGGCCTTATGGTTCAGTGCTTATCCTGCAGTGCCACATTGTAATACGTTGTTTTCTTTCTTGACAGCTGCCTCCATGAGTGTTGATTGTGGATCTAAGCAAAATAACGTTTTTGACAACTTCAATCTTTTCTCCATTTAACATAATGTTACTTAATAGTTCAATGGTGAGGATTTTTGTTTTGTTTACATTGAGGTGTAACCCATACTGAAGGCTGTGCTCTTTAATCTTCATCAATAAGTATTTTATGTCCTCTTCACTTTCAGCAAGCAAGGTTGTATCATCCATATATCACACATTATTAATGAGTCTTCCTTCAATCCCGATGCCACAGTCTTCTTCATATAATCCAACATCTCAGTTTTGCTCAGCACACAGATTGAGTAAGTATAGTGAAAGAATACAGCCCTGGAACACACTTTTCCTGATTCTAAACCATTCAGTATCCTCTTGTTCTGTTTGAACAACTGCCCCTTGGTCTATATTCAGTTTCCTCATGAGCACAATCAAGTGTT